TCTTGACTTATATCTGATCATACAGTCTCAGGGCTTTAACAAAAGCCAGCTAGTATCTGAGACGGTTTTATAACGGTTAGTTCTCCATCTCCTATATCAGTACTAAAATTTATTGTACGAATGGTTGTCATCTCGGGGCACTCAGTGATGAGGTGTTCTGGTGTTTCCCCATTTTCCCCACAGAATCTGCATTGGTCGTTGTTTCTAAGCTTCAATACCCTGAGGTGTTTATTGAAGAGTGTTCTGTTAAAAAATCCCGTGACAATCCGAAGATTGTTCTTACTTAAATCAAAGAAAATCTTTCATTTTCTTGGTCGTAAGTAATTTTAGCATAATAAAAAAATTCGCTATTTTTCAATGTCAAACGCATAAATTTGTAAGGATCTTTATACAGTTATCTTTATATTTAACATCTATAAAATCTTTGAATCCATTTCAAAATTATAAATGTGTGTATTTACTTGTATCTACGATTTTTTTTATTTTGAACTAAAAAAGTAACAAAAATAATGAATGTTTAGAATCCGTTAAAACAACAAACATCATCTGCCGCACGCCACTGGCACATGTCGCCAGAAAATCCCGTATTATATATACAAACCACCTGCCACAACTGAAAAGTCAGTGAGCTTTCAGTGAAGACCGCAAAAAAAACGCTCCCTGTATAAAAACGGTTGTTATTCTTCTGGCACAGATGAACTTGTGTTGTTTAATTAGGAGCTATTTATTTATGTTTTAAAACGTTCGAATTTTTTGTGTTTAGTTTTTTTTTCGATTGAGTAATATATCTTTTATTTATTTAGATTTTTTTTGTTACATTAGGTTCTTATTTCTGCAGCTCAACTATCAGATTTTATTTTACTTTAATTTCTATTTTTAAATACGACGAAAATAATCTAACATCTTTCGCAACAAAAGATGTTGAAAATCGTGCATTTTCTTTTAAATTTTTCTGCGTATATTAGAAACCTTTTTAGAACCACCTCTTTTGTTGAACCACCACCTTTGACCCGCAAATTTTTCCACTATATGGTTACGTCACTAAAAGGGATGCAAATACAGAAAAAATCTGGTGGCTCTCAATTTTTTTTAACGGTAAAGAGAAAATATGCTTGTTTTATCGAGATCTACCAGCTCTGAAAATATTTGCACTCATTTAAGACTCATCCTGTACACAGGGTGCTACATATTCGGGGTACAAGCATTGGTATCTCGGTAACCGTAATAGATACGAACGTGGTTAAATTGGGGCAAAGTCGCGCTTTGGGATGTTCACCAAGATGCCATCAAAAAAGTTTTAAAATTTTCAAGGATTGCTGAGTTTTTTTTTGGAAAAATCGGATTTTTTTTAAATCAATTTTATTTTTTTCTGTCGTTACTTTTTAGAAAATCAAAAAACCAATTGCACATTCTCATAGCCACTTTATTAGGGCTATCTGATAGTATTTTTAGATTTTGAAATTAGCTGATATTTGTGAGATACAGAGGCCAACTTATATTTTTTAAATACGGACCTGCATTTTTTATTTCAGGTTTTGAAAGAACTCGGTCTCCTGAATACAATGATATACTAAACTTAATATTTTTTTTTGTTTCTGTCATTTAAACACAATTTATTTAAACTAATTTCAAGATCGGCTCTGTTTTTTTTAAATATTTAATCTATTCATCGTTAGAACATTGATTAGCTTTCAAACTTTACAATGACGTGGGGCAAAACATTGAATACGGAAAATCAAATGCAATAAAATAGTAAAAAGTAATATAAATATAAACTATAATATAAAGAATTAAATCATTTCCCCGGAAGATGAATGGCCTATGCAATGTTAATTAGCGCTAATCAATATTGTTGCGATGAATATAATCAGATTAAATAATTAAAAAAAAACAGAGTCGGACTTGAATTTATTTTAAATAATAATTAAATAGTTTTGTTGTTGTTGAAGGTATCCAAAACAAAAAAAAAATAAAGTATGGCATATACGTACATTGATATGTCACACATATATATGTAAAAAATTAAGTTGATCTCTGTATCTCCCAAATTATCAGCTAATTTCAAAATATCAGAATATTACCAAATAGCCCTAATAAAGTGGCTATGAGAATATACAAATAAAATTGATTTTCATAAAAATCCGTTTTTTTCCAGAAAGACTCAGCAATCCTTCAAATTTCTAAAACTTTGTTGATGGCATCTTGGTCTTGCAACTTTGCCCTAATTTAACCGTCTTCGTATCTATTACGCTTTCCGAGATACCAATGCTGTATAGTGATATTTTCCAAAACCCCCATTTTTTTAATGAACAGGTAAGACTGACAGGTAAAACGCTACATGTAGACATGGCTTTAGACTCTATTTGGCCTTTATTGACCCCGTAACTTAATAAAACAAACATAAAAAGACTTTATTGACCTGTTAACCTAAAGCGTGCTGCCGAGACACCCCTGTTTATTATTCTAGTAGCTGCGAACTGACATACCGTGCGCCTCATAATAAACTACTAATATTGAGTCTACGGGGTTAGGCCGTGTTTAGATTAGGAAGGTGTTTGAATTGTTGGAATAATATACACAAGTGTGAATGATAGTCGTTTAAGTTTTTTTTTATTTTTTTCAAAAAGTTTTTACTATTATAACTTTTTTTAAAAAAGGTAGAGGTAGAAAATCTAGAAGGATATTTTGTGTCAGAACTTAAATTATGATTTTTGTGAAATTATAGAAAAGAGTCTAAAATAGGTAGTTGTGTAGCATGCTGTAGATCCAGGTCAAAAATAGAGCGAAATAAGGAAATAATTTTTACCGGTAAGTAACTATATACAGGGCGAGTCTTAAATAAATGCAAATATTTTCAGGGCTAGTAAAACTCGATAAAAGAAACATATTTTTTGTTCACCCTTTTTTCAAATAAATCTAAAATAACCGAGATATTTTACTTTGAAAATTAAAAAAAATGGTTTTTACTGAAATTTTGAGAATGCTTTGCTGGGTTTTCTTTCTTGTAAATTTAATCTACTATCTATGTTTGGCTATATTATAGAAGATATTGTGTTTATTAACTAAGAATTTAAAAAAAATCCAAAATATTTTCCAAAAAATTCCACGAAAAAAACCTCATAAGCGTGTTTCTGGGGTCGAAATATACTATATACTACCCCTAAAAATGCTTGCACTGATTTAAGACTCACCCTGTATAATACACGTTATGCGTGAAGTAGTAAACCAATCAAATTATAAAATTCACTTAGAATTAACTAATTATACATACAGGGTCCGGCAATAGTGCGTCGGGCTAGCTCCTAAAATAAAAAACTTCAAAGTTTTGTTTAAGTGCAAACCTAAAGTATGTACTAGGATGTATTTCATATGTACTAGGTCATGTATTTCATTCGTTTTCAGGAAAATATTTTAACTTCTATAGGGTGGCTCAAAGAAGTGTGAGTGTATCGGGATGATTTTTTTTAAATGGAACACCCTGTATATTATTGCATTTTTGGCTTCTTTTCAGATCACTTTACATAATCCTAAGACATGAGTAAATATATTTCGATAATTTCGGAGATATTAATAAATAAATAAATATTATATATTTTTCAACCTTTCTTAAAAAAAATTAATAATAATACAAGAACTGTCCTGAAATCAAAATTATATTAGGTATTTACTTGAGATGGTCTGTAGGTACTTACCTTGCTATAAATATGGAAACCGTAAACCATACAGGATGTTCAAAATTCTACGCCAAACTTTTTAAAATATAAAAAATAATTTTTTTTTTTTAAATGGAACACCCTGTATATTATTTTTTTAATAGATGTGAAATTAAAAAATAAACATTTTTTGTATTTAGAGTATTTCAAAATTTTTAACGGTTTCGCAGATATTCGCGGTTTTATATTTCATATGGCATTTTCCACAGTAAATTTTTATCAAAGCCACCCAATGATTTTGTATAAAAACCATATGAAATACTGCGTGTATCTGCAAAACTATTAAAAAATTTTAAATACTTTAAATACAAAAGGTGTTCATTTTTTAACTCTCCATCTAATAAAAAAATAATATACAGGATGTTCCATTTAAAAAAACAAAGAGAAAATATTTTATATTTTAGAAAGTTTGGCGTAGAACATTGAACATCCTGTATGATTTACGATTACCATATTTATAGCAAAGTAAGAACAGACCATCTAAAGTAAATACCTAATATAATTTTGATTTCAGGACAGTTCTTGTATTTTTAATAATTTTTTAAGATGGGCTGAAAAATAGGTATATATTTTTGGTTTCTTTTTTAATATCTCTGAAACTATCGAAATATTTTTTTTATTTTTTTACTCATATCTTAAGATTATGTTATGAAAGGATGCCAAAAATGCAATAATATACAGGGCGGTCCGTTTAAAAAAATCATCCAGATCCACTCACACTTTTTTGAGCCACCCTATATATTTTCGTGAAATACATTCTGGTACATACTTTTGGTTTGCACATAAACAAAATTGTCAAGTTTTTTATTCTAGAAGCTACAGATGCCCGACACACTATTGCCGGACCCTGTATATCTTTTCCCTGTACCTCCTAGTAGTAGTAGGTATGGGGGAACTGGAAACTTGAACTGCATTTTGCTGGCTGTTTTGCTGTTTTTACTCTTAGATTTACTCTTTTTATGCCTTTTTTACTGTTTTCATTGTTTCATTTACTGTTTTTACCTGTATTATACGGCTTTTGAAGTCAACTTTATCCCATCATTATTATACCGGTATAAACTGAGTGTCAAAGACTGTAAAAGAAACAGTATAAATGGCAAAACAAACATAATAAAGGGCAAAGCTGACAGTAAAAAGAGTAAAACAGTCAGCAAAATAAGGAAAAGGCTCTATGTCTCAAAAGAAGTGTCCCCATACCTACTAAAATATTAGTTATTATGACTAATAAAGCCCGATTAATAAATTAGGCTACTAATAATAAAATGATAGAACTTTAGTATGACTTACCGGACACTTGTTAGGCTTTTCCCCACTATGAACTCTCATGTGAATCAGCAACTTATATCTGGCATTGAACGGTTTGGTTTGTCTAGGACAATGTTCCCAAAAACATGTAAATTCATCACCTGCAAATATACAGTTAATTACAGTTGCATTAATATTTGATATCTCAGTATAAATTACTGATAAATATATCACTATTGAAAAATCTACAGAAAATATTAAAAATTTACGTACAAAATACAGTTTTGATTTTTTTTAAACTTAAAATATTTGACGACTTGGTTTTTGGATTTTATTTTTTTCAATTCTGTTTTTCTCTACTCTCTAATGTGTTGTTTATGTTATTTTTTTATTTAATTTCGATTATATTTTCTTACCTCTTTTGATCTCGACATGACATTTCTCTATATGTGTCACAAGAGTGCTCTGACTGTCGTAGAATTGGTAGCATTTCTCCCACTTACATTGTAGACTGCTTGGAACTTCTTCAAATATTTCTTTTTCTTCATAACCGTAATCTACTTGTAATATGTTGTTCTGGCCGACGTAAAATGTATTGCTGGAACTAAGTGATGGGTAAAAATCAGTATAAATAAATCATCAATGCTGAATTCTTCACAATTATTTTCAAAAAAAAGGGTATGAGGAGGGTGAAAACTGTCCTCAGCCCACATAAATTTTAGTAGAAATATTTTGCAACTTCAGTGACCACTGATTTTTTTTTTGTAAATATGTCCTTCTAATTACCTATTTACTACATTTTTGTCTCTGGTTTTTGAAAAAAAAATCAAAAAGCTTATCGACTTGGAGCCTGCCAATTTCTCTTATAGATAGGCTAACTTCTAAGGGGAAGAAAATAAATGTTTAAATGTTTCTATTTCTAATTTTCAATGTTATAATTTGGATTTTTTATGGATATTTGTTATTATTGCTATGTTTATTTTTTGATGATTTTGACAACACGGATTAAATCATTCACATTATTAGCCGACCGACCTATTAAGATCGGCAATTTTTTTTTTTAATTTCACTCAATATGAGTTATTTGGGTCATAAATGACCTAAATACAAAATATTTTCATGGTGTCTGTCTGTCTGTCCGTCTGTCCGTCTGTAACACGATAACTCAAAAACCGCTAAACCGATTTTAACCAAATTTGGCACAAAAATACTGTGGAACCCGAGAATCTGGCCATTAGTTTTTGGTGTGGGTGGGGGGTTGGTAAGGGGGTATGGGAGGGGGTTAAACATTTTAAAAAATCGTAACTCCAAAATTACAGTAGCTAGCGAAACGCGGTTTTCAATTTAAGATTAGGAATAATATTTGCAACAGAATTTGTAATAACATCAAAATCAGTCAAAGTCGCAGTTTTTGAGATATTCCGTGTTTCCGTAGTCTGTTTTTGAGAAAATCCGTGTGTGGAGAACTCCAAACTCCCATCGGATGCGACCCCAGCTGGCGGATTGGGGAAATAACCGCGGACCAAAATTGGAAAAATCCCTTTACTTTGAAACTAAAAGAACTGCCTACCAACTTTTTATTAACATATTTTACTATGGTAGGCTATTCGTGCTTTCCGGCGCCAATTTTTTTTATTTGATGCTTCTATTAGGAGTTAAATTAACATAGGACTTTTCGACTTAAAAGTCGTTAAAAGTGTAAAAAAGTTAAAAGTGTCAGTTAGGAGATATATTCAGTTAGTGCTTATGATATTTCTAGATCATAAATACCTTAGTAAGGGATCATCGTTTAAAAGGGCATCTGTCTGAGTGAGGATCATTTGATTTTGTTCCGATTGGCTAAATTTTTGTTCCCTTTGGTCGCCATCTTGGATGAATTCGGTGTTTTTTGACACAGACGATCCGATCAAATGCCCATATTCACTTTTGTTGTTCAAATCCTGCAAATATTACAAACACAATTAATATATCAAATAAAAGAAATACAATTTAACTAACAAAAAATAAAAATAAATAGATAATAATAGGATGTTAAAAAATATTAAGGCGAAATTATAAGCAAATATTAAGGCCCCATACGGTTAGGTTATTTTGCACGCTTTTAACCGTCCAATTAAAACCGTGAAGTCGTATGAAGTAAACTGTTTTCATCATTTGTTTTCTTTGTTTAAACAAGTCTTCTGTTCATTTTTTTTTCGGTTCTAAACTAATATAAAAAAAACTGACACTATCATAACTGAAACTTGAGCAAAATACATACCAGAGGTTGGTCAAAGAAGACCTAGGGAAGCTGAAAAAATTATTACAGTTGGGTATTGGATCCTTTGGTGTTACACAGCAAAAAGAACACTAAGTCGCCACAATACACCAAAAAACTATGTAAAACATCATCAGTAGATGATCAAGACTGACAAAAGCGCCTCAAATATCAAGACATTCTACAACTTTCCCCCTCCTATACAATCTACAAAATACACACCTGTTTAAGATAACCCATATCGCCAACCGGTATACTTCGAACATAACAATTGAAATCAAAGTTATTCTTCGTAATTGTCCCAACAGGTGGCAGAGGATTAGCAAAATGTTGTTCTCCCTCATCCAAATCCCGAATTTCCGACCAATCAGCAATATCAATCGACGCATTTGACAGCCCTTCGCATAAATCGATGTCATCAAATCCATTCAGTGCTTTTGGTGACGATTCAGCGTTATTTTCATAACAAAATTTGCTTGAAATCGGTGGTGGAACGAAGAAATTCGAAAACTGGGATGATTTCGGACAGTACTCGTTGATTTCCGTTGAATTTTCCGTGGTGTAGGTTTCAGTATCGAACTCCGTCGTAGTAGTAGACTCAGAAAACGATTCTCTGACGTTTTCAAACTCATGTACGAAGTCGTTGAAGTCGAAATTGATGTCACAATTGGTCGGGCTAGCTGTCGAATCTTCCGATATCAAATAGTCGATCAAATAGTCATCGCAGCATTCTTCGTCATCTTCGTTTGTTAGTAAGTTGGATTTATGATCGATGGTTTCGTTCTGGGTGAAGTTGTTGATTGTGTCGATCATGTCGCCTTTGGAAACGGATTGGGCCTCGTAAAATGCCAGGTTGAACTTTTCCATCAGTTCATTTTGGGTGTAGTTCGTCAAGGGGTTGTAGAGTAAATCGGTTGATTCGTATGAAGTATCATTCGGAGATTTGAACAACATCTGAAAACAAAAGGTCAATGAAGCGATAGCCAGACATTACTAAACTTTGCAGATGCCTGGGCAATTTGATTTGATTAAAAAAGACTTATTATTATTATTTTTATTTTAGAGGCTGTAGTTTTTATCACGATAATTTTTGTATTGTTAAATTCTACTCTCTGCCCCGTGTCCCATGATTAATGACAAATCTTATTAGCCTAAATCCCTCTTATTAAATAATCTATGCTCCTTAATTCAAACATTTTGGGGGGGGGGGTCTAGATGTTTGGCCAATATAAAAATTTGTCACATTCATATGGTATTGTGTATATCATATTTTTCGTTTATTGTTTATGGTGTTAGCTCTGAGAAGTTTTATTTAGATTTTTTTTTGTTTTTTGCCGTTGACAACAGGACCACAAGAAACGTTAAGCATTTTTTGTCAAATTTGTTTTACGAGTAAAAAGCCTCTGAAAAAAATCGTTTTATTTTGTATCTTTCAGTGGCAAAATACATTCTTTTCTAAAAAATGTGGCAAAATACACTCTTCTAAAAATACCCATTCTTTTTTCCAAAAATGAACCCGCAACAAGGGTTTAATATTTTTGTATTTTTTTTTCAGTTTTCATTTCAGTAGATATCTCGGTACTATTTTAATAAGATATTTTGCTATATAACAGTTATAATAGACATATCTATTTATTTTAAATTAAGTAGTTAAACTACTAGCTACGATAAGATATCATGTTTCATTTATCTAGCATTTTATACATCTATCATCTATCTAGCATATTATATATTTGTTTAAATTAAATATTTTTTTTAAGTGAACAATTTATTAAACATCAATAATTAAAATATATGAAGATTACAAAAAGACAAGAAAATAATATAAAATAACACAAATAATTAAGCATAAAATTAAGTAACTGAATTAAGAATAATCAAATTATCAATTAATAAAAAATACATTACTGAACTTCGCAGCAAAAATTCAAAAAATTCAAGTGCTCTTTAAAAAATAAATTTCTTCATATTTCATATAATTTTACGTTGCTTGATAAAAATCTCAATTTACACAGGGTGAACCAAAATTACTGCATACATCAAAAATATATTTTAATTCAAAATTAGGCTAAAAAAATTATATTTATCTTTTGTATTTAAAGCAGAGAGTAGAGTTCCTAGTAGTTGTTCAGTACAAAAAAAAAGTTGCACACAAAAATAGCTTATGATTTAAATTTCTAGTTATTTTGTGTTTACTAAGTAAACTACTAGCTATGATTAGGTAAAATGTTTAATACAGAAAATACTTTAATCAACTGTTTTTCGGCTTTAATGTCTTAACTATAAGTAACTAGATAATTGAAACAAATATCATCAAAAATTTAATAGTTAAAAATATACAAATATTACAAAGTGAAAAGAAAACAATACAAAACGGCAAAAATAACAATAAAATGTAACCAAAAATAAAAGCAAAAATTCTGAAACTATTATCACAGCTATTATATTATTACCAATCATTATTAAATAAACAAATAACATTACTGCACGCAGGTAAATGAATAAGTGTAAAAAAATCAAATAAAAAAATCCTCAAGTGATTTTGTATTTTTTAAAAAAATGTGAGTGCTCTTCATACTTTATACAAAATTTCTCGTTACCTCATAAAGATCTTGGTTTATACAGGATGAACCAAAATTAGTGCATACACCGATAACATTGTTTTAATTCAAAATTAGACGTTAAAAATTATGTTTTTTTTTTAATTTTATATTGGAGGTTGTTTGTATAATCTGTATGTAATTACTTACATTATAATTTTGAAAATGTGAAAATATTGTAATTTTCGTTCAAACTATATAATATATACCTAAAAAACTTTTTAACTTTTCAAGAAAATCTTGAACAGTACCAGTTAAAAACAGGTTATATTAAATTGAAATTATATTACCTAGAAAAATATGAAAATTATATTTTAAGACACTTACCTTCGAATTTTATTCAAAAAAAGGAAAATTATAAACGAATAAACACAAAAAACACAAAAAACAGTAAAAAAAACAAAAAATTAAATCGAAAATAAAAAAAATAAAAATAAAACACTGCTCGACTCTCTATCCCATCGAGGGTGATTATAATCCCATAGGATCTCTATTAGGTTTGAACACCGCGATGTTACACATTTAGATACCACTCGGTAATTAAGATGACAGTACCATAAGTGACATATTTTTAAACCCCGACTGGCGTAAAAAAGGATCGGGAAGAGTCGGGATAAGGCGAGAGCTTCAACCAATGGGATGGGGTTCTGGATAGGAATCCTGGAATGCCTGCATAGGGTTTGCGTTCTCTGTTGATGTTAAGAGTCGTTGCGGCGTGGGTTGGACGAGCGAAGGTCACGTGCACCTGTAGGTGTCAGGACAGGTGTACCTTATAAGAATGTGCAGGGTTTTCAGAGATATTTAGGTGCGATACCTGCAGACTTAGATACCTGTTAAGCTTCATTCAGAATCTCGCAATTAGTGAAATAAATTAGTGGTTTCAATTACTTTATACTTCTTCGTTTACGGAATTATGCAGTTTAAAATTCGAGAAAGTTTTTTTTTGAAATAGATCTGCCGTCTTATCATTTTTTAATCTTTCTATAATTAGTGTTAATTTTTAAGTAAATGTCAATATTTTTAGTAAATGACATCTAGAGATTGACCTCGCTAAAATTATCATCCATTATCATTCCCCAGCGGTCTTTGACGCTGTTTTTTTTTCGATCATACGGTACTTATATTGAATTTCGAAATACATAAATATTTTAAGGTGTAGTAACATGATCTAAAAAAATGACCATGACTATGAAATGAAGATCGTTGTCATTTTATATGTAAAATTATATTGAGAGTGTCATCGATCGTAATTTCCAAGCCAACTAGACGCCGTTTTTTTTCTCGATCATACGGTATTTATAAAGAATTAATAGATATATAGAACAATCTAATTTAAACAAAATATATCTGAAAAATATTTATTTACAGGGTATTTAACCTTATTAAAAAAATGTATTAAGATATCAAATGACACGCTAGGATGACATAGCTTTTAGATCCCTGTCGTATATCACTTGTGTTATTTCTCCGTCACACTTTTTTTCATTTTGGTCCTCAAAGTGCCTCTTAATTAAAAATATTTCAGAACCCATCGTGGACAAGATCGAATATTTCTATGGAATTTCGAAAAAAAATCGTCTGGTTTCTGGTGTTAGGTAATTTAATGATACGTAAACAAAACCGAAAGGGCGACTGACAGATATATATTTTAAGGGAGAGTTAATGAGGTTATATGGACCGTTTTATATGCAACCTTTTAATTATTTATTGCCGTATTGAGTTTCAGTTTAGTAGAGAAACAAATGTTTTAGGTTGCTATCTTATATTTGCTTCTGTGTATCTGATAAAACCAAAACCCTGTCAAAAGTATGCCCAGCTACCTGTTAATGTCCCCATACACTTCGGTTATTTTGCACAGTTTTAACCGAACAGGTAGGACTGTTCAGTTAAAAACGTCAGTGTAGATGAGTGGTCGGTTCAGTTTTGCCCTTTCGTATATTTCATATATATTTGATATCAATTAAACTTTTGCTTACGCAATCGAGGGCGCGATTTTTAAATTCATTGTTGCCAACCTTGGACATATTTATCGCCGAGCTGACTAACTGGAATTTAAATTTCGCGCTGGGAATTCAGGTAGTAGCTTTGCTGTAAAAAATATCAAGTTGTCGTATTTATTTATTTATTTCCTGAAATTCCTTTTGACAATTTAGTTTAGTATTACGAGTTTTTGGTTTATATAAATAGAGTTGGGTTACTTTAAGTTTAAAAATGTTTACTAGCAGGCGTTGCAGTCTAACATTGTTCTTTTTAAGATAGCTTAATAGCCGTAAAAAACTCATCGAAACTTTATTAGAATATGTTGAACGGGAAAGCGGTAATAATGCGGCCTTCTATTTCCCTTAAGTGCTGATAAGGAGGTGAGTTTTGTTAATGTAAATAATAACTGTTTATATATTTATAATTAATTTATTTTTGTTTCCTAAAATATTTTGATTAAAAGAAAATAAACACATCGGAAAGGTCTAGGGATATTACAATTTTATCCAGCTATGGTGAGTAATTTCATTATTTGCATTTCTGATATAATAAAATTAAAATAAACAAATAGTTTACAGGACAGGACGTATTGGAAATAAAAATGCGAAATTTACCGAATTTTTCAAATTTACCTTGATTTTGAACTCAAAAAAATACACGCATTTTTTTTATTCTAAACTGTGAATTAAAAAAAAAGATAAAGCCATTTTTACTTAATAAAGGGTATGGCCTCCTCTACTGTTCATTACAGCCCTACATCGTCTCTCCATGCTCCGGATCAGGTTCTCGATCTCGTCTTGAGGTACAGCCTGCTACGCTGCATTCGCGGCCCGAACCAGATCCCTACGAGTTTCACGAGGCATACCCATTCTCAAAATTCTTCTTTGGACCGCGTCCCATACGTGCTCGATGGGGTTGTAGAATGTAGAATGTTTAGGAGGGGAGTTAGTCACCGCGACCTTAAAGATCTATTGTGTGTTCCCCTTTCTTGAGCTATAACGAGTTATAACTCATTATACAGTCTCAAGGCTTTAACAAAAGCCAGTATCTGAGACGGCTCCATAGAGGCCAGCTCTCCATCCTTGACATCAGCCGTACCAAAGTTCATGGCACGAATGGTCGTCGTCTCGGCGCACTCAGTGATGAGGTGTTCTGGTGTTTCCCCATATTCTTCACGGAACCTGCATTCGCCGTTGTTTCTCAGCTTCAGCCTACTGAGGTGTTCGTTGAGGAGACAGTGTCCTGTTAGAAACCCCGTGACAATCCGAAGATTGTTTTTACTTAAATCAAGGAAAGCCTTTGATTTTTCTCGGTCGTAGGTTCTGAGGAACTTTTTCGAGTGTCTTAGACCGTTGGAAGACACCCATTCTAAGT